ATAAATTTTTATCATCTATCAAGTGTAATTTTCCTCTACAAGATGCAGGAGTGTAGAAGCTAGATTGTGAATCTATCTTACATAGGTTAAACAAAGAGATCTATAAAAACCCGCGTGAAAGAACATAGCTGACGTAAAGCACCGACGCTCCGGGAATTCTGCAGTCTGTGAACATGTTCAAGATCGTCCCCACCATTACATCAGATTTGAAAAACCACAAATCCTCTCAAAAGAACACCGATTCCTACCAAGGATGATACACGAGGTTATGAAAATTAAAAAACATTCTAACTTCAATAGAGAAGATGGATGGGTGCTATCATCTACTTGGAATCCTATAATGAACAAAATTAAACCTAAACCCAAGCATACCACTGCAAGACTTCAAGATACTGTAAGCGCGTTCTGCGTAGATCGGACCAAAAATTAATTTTCAAAAACTGAAGGTAGCCGGGTTAACTATTGCATTGGAACGTTAAACACCTCAATCCCTCCCGTGACCATAAGTGCTGTAAAGCGCCCGAAACGTCGGGAATTAAAAATAAGTTAAAATAAATTATTAAACGCGATAAAATCCGTAAATATAGTTTTATTCAATGTAGTGTTTGCGTAACTTTAAGAAATCATTGAATAAATATATGTTTTATATTTTACATAGTTATCTTTTAAAATATTCAAAACAAATCATTAAAATGTAATTGTGACATAGAATTATGTAGTATTATAGAAAGTTAGCGCATATGAAAAACAAATGACTATTAAAAATAAATTGTACTGGTCTTTTAAAAATAATTTTTAAAAGAATTTTTACATAGTGATCATTCTACCTACGTATAATCTATGACATTGAGCTATTATGTACTACGTACTAGAGGCGACACTGCATTCAGCTACTCTGTTCCACTCAACTGCGGTGCATACACCGATTTAATCACTTTAATCAGTCACTCGCTAGGCGCTTGTAGAGTTGTCACGTGTTGTGTTGATTTAAAAAAAAAACTCTTGATAAAAATATGCCGTCGTGTGTACTTAGATATTGCACAAATAATTCAAGAAATGTCAGCAAAAACCAAGGAATTACTTTTCATCGGTTAATAAGATACTTAATCAATAAAAAAAGTACCTATTATAGATTAACAATGAAACAAATTATTCCTAAGATGCCATCTCGTGTCATGGAATATAGATTATGAAATTAATATGTTCAGAAGCGACATTTCTGTGGGTACTTATGTATAGGATGAATATATTATTATACACATTTTTTGTAGAACCATATATAAGTTATTATAATTAGGCTAAATTTTTGATATTTAAATCTGCTTATTATTCTTTTATTTTATTTTTAGGTTCCACATCAAAGTCAAAGTGGAATAAATTCGTCCATTTTTAAATCTCGCGTGCCCAGCATTTAGGAACGACTCTTATTCTAATTTAAATAAATATATTTGTAATTTAAATGTTATGTTAATAAGTTTTGTTAAACATACATTTAGTATGTTTTTTTATATTTGACATAGATACCTTTTAAAATATTCAGATAAAGATGTCACTAAAATCTAATTGTGATATAATATTATGTAATATTATATTAAATTAGCAAATATAATATACAAAATAAATGACACAATCAATATGAAAGTATATCTGTCTGTTTTAATAAATTTCAACATTTTGACAATTCACAAAATGATGAAGCACGTAGGAGGCGTCTGTAGATCATTTAAAAGTCTTCTTCATAGATTGTCCAGTGAGCATGTAAGCATCGATAAAATATACAAAATATGTAATGTAAAACATGTTTATTATAAAAAATAACTTAATACGAAAAAAACTAGTTAGAATAAAAAATAAATTTCCATGGAATTAAAAATATACTTTTATAAATAAAAATAATGCAAAATAAAACAAATTCCAGCCGGGGGCATAAAGGAGTGTTCTAATTTGTACCCCGGGTAGGAGAGATATGACATATTAGCCGGAGAGGATACCTGAGTCTCGGTTAAAAAGAGCAAGGCCGGCTTCGCCGTCTCCGGGTGGTAGCGTGACAGGGGTCGCCTTGGTCTTATTGCACCGCTTGCCTCTAGCAGTTTTAGTCGCAAGCAGGATTCCCCCTTCTCCCCTAGAATACGTGGAGCAGCCTAAGCACCCACGCTCAGGAAGAGTAAAATAGCTTGGTCATGGACGCTCAGCGAGGGATTCTCCGCTACCAAGAATGAGGGTACCCTCTTGCTGCTCTTTTATTTGCTTCCGCTACGATGTTAAGGGGGAGGGGGAATTGAGCCTCCAGCCCAAGCGAAACGCAGAGGTAAACCTCTACTTCACGCAGGTATTCTGTGAGGTCGCGGTACCACCCCGGTTCAAGCTGGCCCGTCCATGCGACATCAATAGCCGCTGCGTGTCTCTACCACTGTCCAAGTCAAGAGGATGGCTGCCATTTTAGTTCATTTCAGCTCAGTCTTATAACAGTTACCCTTCTTTTTTTATATAGGATAGGGTGACAAACGAGCACACAGTCCACCTGATGGTAAGTGGTTGCTGTGGCCCATAGACATCTCCATACATCCTCGATTACGAATCAAAATGCAGATGCGTTGTCACCCGTTAGGACTAAGATGGAATGCCTCGTTTCCAGTAAAAAGGGTCTCCGGTTCTCCACACTCACCATACGAAACACAGTTGCATTAAGCTACTATTTTACGCTGGTATTCTGTGAGAGCGTGCTCCTTCCCCGGTCGAGCCGACCCATTCGTGCTATACCTATACTACTAATAGTATAACTGCATCATGGCTCTACCACGTAAAAAATTCATGTCTTACACTCACCATACGAAACACAGCTGCATTAAGCTACTATTTTACGCTGGTATTCTGTGAGAGCGTGGTCCTTCCCCGGTCGAGCCGACCCATTCGTGCTATACCTATACTACTAATAGTATAACTGCATCATGGGTCCATCACGTAAAAAATTCATGTCTTATTAAAATATTCGTTGGTAGCCTAAAATGATAAATATTTTTTGATAGTAAAATAGTTTGTAAGTACTCAACAATTAAAACAGAAACATCAGCGACTTAAAAAATTAAATATTTACCTTGACTTCAATTTGATGTAACATAATAACAACTAATTAAAAAAATATGCTGACTACATATATTTTTATAACTTAGCCTAAAATTAATTACCCAAATCTTGGATCATTAGAAATAAGAAATACTGGCAACATTCTCCCGTTACGTAATCTCGAAACATTGACATTCGTGTTTCGAATAACCTTCAAAATTGTGTTGGAATAACAAATTAAAATATAGTTAAATGAGTGTTTACGAGTGAAACGATATTGCTTTACACTTTTTGTTCACTTTAGTATTGTTTTTGCACCATTTAACTATACATGACGGCATTTTATAGGCAAATTTACTGCACGACGCCCCGGGAAGTACTGAGCGAAAATGAGAGTAGTTTGATGCATGTGTGTGCGTGAACGCGTGTGCTTACTGCTCACATAAAGGAGCGGAGTTTTTTGGCTTCACCAATAATAAAGGCCGCGCTTTATCTATCTTTTTTACTTCATCTGAGAGTACAAAGTACATATAACTCAATGATTGCAAATTAATGCACGAACGTAACATCAAAAATTTATATTTTTGGTAGATAATATCTTAGGCACGCATAGGCTTGCCAACCATACTTTATAATAACGTATCCTACTTTATTTTTGGTAATTATACTTTATACTTTTACATACAAATAAAGTATGCAAAAATACTTTATTTTCAACCTTTACTGTGATGCGTAAAACATACTCATCATGGGTACTTAACGATTTATAATTGCTGAACGAAATGTTACCTATCTTTCCGATTCACGCCAATAGCGCCAACAGTGATTACGCTCGCGACCATGAGCAGCGTTGGCGTTGTCATCAGCGCGCTTACGGTTGATTCGGAACATATTATTGGCGCTGACAGCGCTGTTGGCGTGAATCGGAAAGGCCTATTAGATGTCAGTTGTGACGTTTGTCACAGATGTCTCTCACTATCGACGAAATTGTACAAAACTGGTCGTTTAGTTTTGTTTATAAGCGAAGTATGCATTTTAAAGTAAATATTAATGCTGAAAATGACGAGTAATTCTGATAGCGACACACCAGTGACTCCTAAAAAAATCTAAAATAACTAAAAAAAATAATTTATTTAAATTTAAACGTTGATTGTCAAACAAGCTTTGTAACATTTAAAGACAACAAAAAATTGTTAGCATGTGCTAAAAGCACACAAAATACGTGTTTAAAGCAATAAAAACATAAAATTTGAAAAATACTTTTTTTCTTCCTAATACTTTATTTTTCCTATCCAAACCACTTTATACATTTTTTTTTGTCAAAAAAAGTTGGCAACCCTAGGCACGCAACACCAAGGTCATGTGCATAATTGTTGCGTTTTGAAAAAAAATCTAATCAAAATAAAAAAAAATCTGATTCAAAAGTTTCAAAAGTTTTCGTACTTTGGTTAGGTAGTTGGTTTTGGTTGGATATGTGATAACGGTTACTTAGGTTTATCGATATGATATAATATTTTGATAACATAACGTTAATAATTATTAATTTTTTGATTTATCGGTCTCATGCCTAACCTACACACTGTGTAAGTAACGCACGTGCGTATCGTCACGTGTACTGAATTCATTTTAAATATTTTTTTAATTGTGCGACTTTTTTAACAAACTTAACTCATATGTCATAATTGTTATGACAAAAATAATTTTATTTTTAATGATTTTTTTTTAAATTTTGTGAATTGATGATACATTTTTAAATCATTTTAATGCAAGAGAAAATTAATAAAACGTAGAAAAGTAAAGCAAGTTTAAGTATTTTTGTGTTGTTTTTCCCACGTGACCAGTACGAACATAACAAAAAAGGGAAAGTGATTGCCTCAATTAACCTGGCAAGTTAAAATTTTGTGATTTCATTTTTATTTTACAAAATATCATTAAAAATGGGAGCTGAAAACTTTGGATCTAATCAAAAGGATGAAATAGAAATTATTGAAATTATGAAGAAATTTGGAAAATATCAAAAGTTCCAGTATTTTTACGTTTGTCTCGCGGCGTTCTTCATGACAATGACTAACATAAACTATGTATTCGTTGCTGGGGACCTCAACTATCGGTATGTAGGAGAATAATTATTATAATATATATTTGTTTTGCGGAAGAGAGTCATAAATCTATTCATAACCAAAACTGTAAAGATTTTCGCAGTGGAAAATTTATATACATATATGTAAAATAGTAAAAAATAATAAATTTATATATGTAAAATTTTAAAAATTAAGTATACGTATTATAATTTATAATATTAATATAAAATTCTAATTTTAGAAGTCATAACTTCTTTAGGCATGTTCGGTACCTATCATATGATATTTTCTCGGGAAGTACGGCCTAAAAGTTTAAGTGCAATTGTGAATAACATTTTACGAATTTATGCTTACATACGTTCGGGGCCCTGTAGCCAGGGGGCCCCGCATCATTGATACGGCTGATACGGCGGCAGCTACGCCCCTGTTTTGTAGTCGGTGTAACTGTAATTATATTCTGAGATTATGCATTTATTTCAATCTATGGAAACGCCCATTAAGTTGTGAAAATATAAGGATAGCGAAAGTCGATACTAAATCCTTATTTTAATCATATGATCATTGTGACATGCTTAGCCAACGGACAGAATAAACATAATATAGGTACCTACGTCACGCAACTTCAAGGTTATGATTCAAATATCCGATTACATAGAAAAGTTATAATTTTGTCTTTTCTCAATTTTATCATTAAGGGGAAATATAACCTCAAATGGCTTAGCAAGATCCTCCGTTATGCCGAAAGTATTGCAGCATTAATTTTGAAATAAATATATGGTAAAGTTGAGGATTAATGTTAAGGTTTATGCTAGACGAAAACACGATTCCGTAAAATTTTCTCGATAGAAAAAAAATCCAAAGTTACCTCCAAACTGAACAATAAACCGCTGTTATTCATCATATACTTTAAATAAGATCATGAAACTTTGCATACTAACTGAACTAACCATAAAGCAGTGCTTATGTTATTTACTTTTTTTAAAATATCATTATTTTCACTGTAAAAAGAAATTACCTAAACTATCGGCGCGTAAGCTTGGTTCCTGGAACGGAGCGACAGGAACCTGTCGCTCCGCAGGAACGATCGATTTTTTTTCTATCGAGAAAATTTTACGGAATCGTGTTTTCGTCTAATATAAACCTTAACATTAATCCTCAACTTTACCGTATATTTATTTCAAAATTAATGCTGCAATACTTTCGGCATAACGTAGGATCTTGCTAAGCCATTTGAGGTTATATTTCCCCTTAAGATTCATATTTTTGTGATGACACATATTATTTTACTAACAAAAAATTTGTATTAATTTTATTATATTTATATTTTGTATATCATATTTGTTTTATTTTTGTTACTATGAATTTAGCTTCATTATCACTTAGCAAAACCTACAAGTTGACATAGTCTCATTTTAATTCTACAACAATTTTATTTTTGTTATTAATGCGTAGTTTTACACTTCGGATAATTATTATTCCAGGACACATACAATACATATACAATATATATATATATATATATATATATATTTCATTAGTTCATTTTATTTATTTAATAAAAAAATTATTAAATAAATAAAATGAACCATATTTAATAAAATTATTCTAATATTATATCAATTCATTTATGACAATTCACGATTTTATAACTTCTTAACGTCTTCTTAACGTCGTTCATATGATCTATTTTTCGTACCACCTTGAGAGTCAATCAGTGTTTGTTCGATAAAATGACTTTACTTATAGAATGAAGTAGATGACGCTATTATAAAGCAGTTGTACTGGAAAAAATATTCTTTTGCTTTGTTACATTAAAACTAATTATAAAAATAAGGATTGTAACATCTACTTGCTCTATAATTAAACTTTTATCTTATATTTTTTGCCGCACTTGTGGTTGAAAATGGTCAAATTAAATTCATCATTTGCCGTGAAATATTACATTTATTATATTTCATTTCATTTGAAGGTTTGACTTCTTAAGGATGTGAACTGCACACATGTTTTTTTTTGTTGAGCTTTTATCAGGCAGATGCTGCTGCCCCTCTTCTTGTTCCTCTGTTGCCTCTTACGACATTCACGAAATAATATGGGGTAGTGGATTCGTCTCAGTTCATTAGGCATCCAATATACGTAAATAATATGGGGTAGTGGATTCGTCTCAGTTCATTAGGCATCCAATATACGTAAATAATATGGGGTAGTGGATTCGTCTCAGTTCATTAGGCATCCAATATACGTAATAATATGGGGTAGTGGATTCGTCTCAGTTTATTAGGCATCCAATATACGTAAATCAAAATGTTGACCATAAAACTAATCCTGTGTTACTTAAAACTAATTTCAACCAACAAAATAGTTTTAGGCACGCATGTGTGTGCGTGAGTGTAGTGCGTCACTAAAAAAAAACATACGTTCTGTCTTATCTATCTTTGTACGTTATCTTTCTGTACCTACTATCCATTGATAATATTTACGTTATATTCTATCTATCTTTTTTGTTGGTTTAGATGCCGTATCCCTGAATGTGAAAACCAATACGCAGTTTATAACGCCACGTGGTGGCCCAACAAGACTATTGACAGATGTACAAGACCACAACTAAAAGAAGAATATGTTGTTGGACAATCGTGCACCAGCGAAAGTTTTACAGATGCGGTCGTAGAATGCACTGATTGGGTGTACGAAACCAACAACACGGTCATAACTACGGTAAGTTACGGTACGATACTACGGATATATATATATATATATATATACGATATATAGGAACGGTAGAGGTAGGAGAGAGAGGAAAGATGCATATGAGCGAGCTCAAGAACGTCGTCGGCTCGTCAACATTTTATCCATATACATCCAGAATGCTTTACAAGAAAAACAAGTCACTGAAGTCGCAAAGTCATTGTTACCTTAAGATCGCTCTACAGTCCAAAAAACTTTATCTCCGTAAAGTTAGAGTTTTCTATGATAGAACTTAAACCATTACTTCACGCCCTAAGTTTTAATTGATCAATGTGTCGGTGAACCACGGTGCCATCTAACGATTAAAAATCATAATTCGATTTACTTAATTTTTTATTAATATTACCTTCTCACTCTTTCGTTCGTCACGATACGATTTTTAGAGGTGGTAAAGTTATATTATAGTTGTAGCACGAATGGGTCGGCTCGACCGGGACCACGCTTTCATAGAATACCAGCGTAAAACAGCAGCGTAATGCTGCTGTGTTTCGTATGGTAAGTGTAGCGAACCGGAGGATTGATCTTAGTTGAGGATAAATGTAGATGTCTATGTTCTCATTTGTCACCCAATGCTATAAAAAAACGAGCGATATCACACTGCGTCACCCTCTGGAAATTCACTATAGTGACGAATACAGTTATAAGTAAGAAACCCATACAATTCTTCGCTACTAAACGGTGGCCCGTTATCAGCTATTACCTATCGGGGAATTCCAAATCTGGTCCAAATTTCTCTTAATCTTGAAATAATTGTAGCTGCTGAGATGGAATTCATGTGAAAAATTTCTATCCACTTCGAGTAAGCATCGAACGGCGCCCCTTTATTGAACCCAAAAAATCTATCTAAATCTTATCTAATCATAGACCAGGGACGTATGGCCTTGGCCAAGCTGAGGTTAACGGCGCGGAGGCGCCTTCGCCGTCTCTGCGCAAACGCGGCACGCGTGCTTCTCGTCTCTACTGCCTCGTCCACTCTCGGCCGCCACACGTAACTCATAGGTATTATTACTATACATTTAGTTTTTACAATTTCCGTGTGAGTATCATGGAGTTCTCGCAATACCTTATCCTGACATACCTTAGGCACTACTGATCTGTGGCCCCACGTTACACACCCTAGCTCATAATAAAGTTCACCTCGCCTGTTGAAATACGGTTTTAATTATTTTAATTCTACAGCATCGGGCTAGCTCTCTCTTATGTAACTAAGAACCTATCCGAGTATAGGATCACTCCTAGTTTCTCTTTTCATTTCCTCATAATTCAACGGCGGCGCCTGTGACGCAAAATGCAGATAAGTTTGTTCCTCGTCATTGATAAAACCTTTATAACTATCTATTTACCGTGATAAAGCGTCAGTGGTATTCGCATTCGTACTTATTTATATATTCAATAGTAATGTTTCTATATAAATTCGACTGTAATTAATCTCTAACGACGTGAGCGCACGTGACGCGGAAGCGATAACTCGTTCCCTGGTCAGAGTGGGAGGGGGAGACTTGACGCTGCGTCACCATCAGTAGCTCAGCTCAGTAGTCACTGGCATTTATTTATTTCAGTGCTAGTCACAGAGTATTTTGTATGGTGCTAGTACTGTGCCGACACTGCACGAACTCGCATCGCACATCATCACTATCATCGCAATCATCGTAATGCACCAAAACTTCTGGACTAATTATCATTTGTTTTACATAATTAAACGATTAGTTTTTTCCGGGTCCAATGCCAGTATTTCTTCTTTTTAAGTAATTGTACAAGGGTGTAAAATCAAGGGTTAAATATTTTATAAATTTATGTGGTGATCACTGTGAGATCTCGAGTCTCATCTAATAATATTTGATTATATGTTTATACATAATATATATATATATATATATATATATATATATATATATATATATATATACATTATATACATAATACATATAATATATGCATATAACATAATATAACATAGAAAGTAAATCTTCTATTTTTGGCACGAAATTGTAACGCTCTATTCAAAGTTACCTTACATTCAGTACCTACATAATCGCAAGGCACCATCGGGCTTGTGTACAATTACCAGAGGGTTTGCCAGATGGAAGCGTCGACAGGTTCGATGATGTTCGTGTTCTGCAACGCTTCCAGCTCAAGCGAAATGTTACCTGTCCGCCCGTAAATCACCCCAGTTTGCTTTTTTTTCTCGAAACTCTGGTCAGTGACATTGAAGATATACTGACTAATAAACTCGGGAACTCAGGAAAATAATACCTCTGATACTCCTTTGTACTGAAATTTTACGTCCAGATACCACAAGGATTTAACTTTAGTGCCATTATGAAATCAAACTGTTAATCTACAAATTTTAAAAGAATATTTTAAATATTATCGTAATCTTGCTTTGATACGCATGATAGTGGTGACCCTGTATCTACGTATTTCCATAAGTAACATAATATAATTGATTCCAAAGAGATGCTCGCCGATTTATAGCTACTCAACGATATTTGGTAAATATGCTACTTCTCCACGTTGTTGTGGTCATACACAGTCTCTCCTGTCTCTTCCCTCAAATCTTCCATCTAAAGAGTATCAGCGGATTTCATACTCTGTCTTCCGTTTAGGCCGCGTCCACGTAAGCCCCCATTGCTACCTTTACCGCCATCGCAAGGCTACACTGAAGGAGAAGCTGAATTCTTGGAGCACATCCTTCTCAATTACTCTATTTTTTGCATCTACTACACTCGCAATGTCCGACTCGGCATTCACTTGCTATGTGTCTCGAGTCTCCGCATGCGAAACAACCGCCAACTTACATATGTAAGCCTATATACGTACCAGTCATGGGCACAAGCCTCCGCTCATTTCTGAGAGGGTTTTAGGGCAAGGAATTGTTCGCTGCGCTGCCCCAATGCGTGTTGGCGAACTTCACATTATTATTTCTCTGACATACAGGTTTTCTCACGATGTTTTCGTTTACCGCCGAGCACATGGTAAATCATCACTTAAAATTACAATTAACGGTTTCATTGGTGCCGGCGGGGATCGAACTCAGTTTGCTCGCGTACTGTGAAATTTAAAGCGAGTGTTAACCATCTGAGCTACCACAGCTCACTTGTAAGCGATGTATTGCATCATCCGCGCCTACCCGCCGAGGGCCGTGCACGAGCGCCCAGTGCCTACGAATCAGCCTTCTCCACCAGCACCGCCGCTTCCAGGCACTGCCTCTTTAAAGGTGATTTCTATTTGTAAAAAATTTTGCCCTATGCTATCGTCGCGATTACCGCACATAAATTGATCCCTTAGATCTTCTTCCAAATTCTTTCCGAACTTACAACTTTTAGAAAGTTCTTTTAGTACCGCCACATAACACTCAATGTTTTCGTCTATCCTTTGCTTTCTCTGTCGATAAACAAAACGTTCTGCGAGTAAAGAAGGTTTCGGGTTTAGATGCTGCTGCATCAGCTCACAAACTTCCTTGAAAGTCGTGTCCGCCCATTTCCGTGGGCTCGATTAATTTGTTAAAAGTTCGTAAGTACGGTCTCCCATCGCCGTAATTAACGTTGGTAATTTTAGTTCCTCACTAACATTATTCACTTTTTAAAGTACATTTCGATTCTTTCTGTGTATAACAGCCAATGTCCGACTCAAACTCCAATTTTTTTAGTTTTCCGATCGCAATTTTGACTAAAAACGCGTTGCTCTTGTCAAATAAAAAGCATGCTTGTGGCGTATAACTCGCTTATTGGCAAACTGAACTCAAAAGCCATCCTGACGTACAATATATAGACATGTATGACGTTATATTCAATTTCCCTGTATTGTATACATTAAATTTTCATGCAAAACTAAGCATAATATGCTTGTTCAAATATTCGTCTTGGCTGTCATTGATTCTGCAGATGTTTGTTATTCAGACTTGAAACTAAAATTTTTGCTAATAGTCTTGTGCGCCTTCTTAATAACTTTATCAGCTTTTTTTACAACAACCAACCGACAAACAACAAACTTCGTATTCGCCATAGATGGCTAACTATCCGATAAAGACGCACTTCTAGAATATTGTCGATTCGTTATTCCATTTTAAATGATTTGTCCTCCCGTCCCTACCTTCAAAACTTTCAACACCTGTTATTCCAACAACGACAGGGTACTTCTCTCTTCAATAAATTTGTAGATTTCCATCTCATTTTACAGGCTTTACTGGCAATTATTTTATAGTTCAGACTAGATACAGGTACTTTGAAACTCCTTACTTGAAAACATTAGAAAAACACCAAAAAAAGGTAGCATTAAAAAATTGATTCTGGAACATCTTTCGAAAACAATGTCGTCTAAATAACGTGAATTAGTACTACTACCATAATCTAGACATATTATGTATGTATGTTAAGGATAATTGGTATATAATACGGATTATTATATATTTCTTTGGTCTTTGGTTATTTAAGTCACCTGCAACTAATTTTTCACCACGTCATGGGTTGACTGGCAGAGAATGCTGACTGGCATTGAGTCCGCCCTTTGTAACCTATATGGTTAATTTATAGAAACAGCGGACCAATAGCAAAATGTATAACATCACATAATTGTTTTTGCAGCTCAATCTCGCCTGTCAGCATTGGAAATCTAATTTAATTGGGACCTTTCACAATATTGGAACGCTGTTAACAGTTGTATTGTCTGGTTGGCTGGCAGACAGGTAAGAACTGCTGACATCCATCTTCTGTACCAACGTGACTATGGACTCGCGTTTGCGGAGTACCTTCTGCAGGAGTAGAAAGAGATAGATTGGTCTAAGGGCATAGAGTTGTATTACATACAGGAAGCTAAATAGTAACCTTTGGCACAGAACAATAAATAGCGATGAACTGTCACAAACACATCAACAGAATCTAGGGATACCTTAATCCTAAATTATTTAAGACTTTAAAATTTAAAATCATTTTAGTTGCCATAAGAATACATATTGAAACTTCTTTTATTCTTTTTTCAAAATTTAAACATGTAAATTAAAAAAAAGAAAATACGGCGGCAAAATTGTTAGTAAATTGTTAGGTACGTCAAAGAAAATTAAAATTTTTCTGCTTATATTAATTAATGAAAAGGGATTGGATTGTTTTTCTTTTTAATATAACGTGCCGTGTGAGCTTTAAGAGTCATTTCACGTCGTCATTTGAGTCGAGATGAAATGTTACGAGCCGTGGGCATGTTAGAAATTAGTGTTGTTCCACGCGTCGTTGGTGAGGCCCTACACCACTACACACCAGCCAAAACGTGATATCAAGGTTGTGGTCGCATTATCGCAGTACTGGGGATGTGGCTGAACGGCACACGTGTAGATATCGTGTTACCATGCAGAAACAGGATCGATTTCTCCAAATGACCGTCAGAAGACAACCAAATATCACAGCGATGCAACTACTACAAAGGCTCCTGGAGGACTACCTGCTGCTGGTAAGCGACCAAACCGTGCGAAGAAGGTTGCATGAAGTTGATCTACATGCTCAAAGACGTACTCCAGCACTGCTACGTGGCAATCGTGGTCGGCGGCTTTTACCATGGAGAGACGAACAATGGTCTCTGGTGCTGTTCACCCATAAGTCCCGGTTTGGGTTTCATCCGGATTAACTAAGAACACGCGTTAAGAGAACTCCGGGGAGAGTTAGCCGTCTACAACACCCACAGGAGGTCCACTCATACCAAGACGGGACAACCATAATGTAGGCAGGAATTCGTCTTGGCGGACGAACCCGGCTCGTTTGGATCCAAGGCAGCATGACTGCACAAAAATACCGCGACGAAGGAGTAGAGCCTGTTATTGTCCCACACAGAATCCAAATGGGCCAGGAATTTCTACTCATGCACGATAATGCTCCTTCCCGTACGGCGCGGCTGGTATCGGTCGCTCTCCGAGCCCACGATATTCAAATTTTGGATTGGCCTGCACAATCGCCCGACTTAAATCCTACCGACCATGCCTGGCACATTTTACAACGAAATGCTTTGAGAGATTTACCGCCAAATTTACGAAGAAACTACAACTTTACGAACACTTGCAAAGAACATGGGACCTCATACTGCAACAAGACTTTGACAATTTAATTTTGAATATGAAAAATCGATGTCGATGTGTAATTAATGTAAGAAATGGCAACACTGATTATTAATAATCAGGTTTTATAAGATTTTGAATAAAACTATTATTTACGGATTTTATCGCGTTTAATTACTTTAATTTATTTTTATTATTATCCCGACGTTTCGGGTGCTTTACAGCGCCCATGGTCACGGGGGGGACTGTCTTAAATTTACGCGAACACTACACATTGAATAAAACTATTATTTACGGATTTTATCGCGTTTAATTACTTTAATTTATTTTTATTATTATCCCGACGTTTCGGGTGCTTTACAGCGCTCATGTACACAGTCCCCTTTACAGCTTTACAGTCCCCCCCGTGACCAGTAAAGCACGAATTTGTACGCGCGATAATAAAAAAATAAATTAAATTAATTAAACAAAAATCCGAAATAATGTCTTTTATTCAATGTGTAGTGTTCGCGTAAATTTAAGATATCTTTATAAGATTTTTTTCAATTTTAATCAAAATTAATAGATTTAATAAGAAGAAATAATTTTTTTATCGTACTAATTTTGTACGGCGATTAATAAATTAAATTTTTTAAACAAAAAAATATGAAATGTCTTTTATTTTTTATTAATAACCTATCATTATTCCATTTACTATATCAGAAAATTCTTCATTGATTTTTATATATTTGATGAAATATAAAATATCCCTAGATTCTGTTGATGTGTTTATGTTGCTAATAAATAAAGTTAGCTGAGTACGACGATAGACAGTCCGAGTATTCTTGAAGTAGTTTTCCTTCAGTAACATTTTAAATAGGTTACAGCATTGGCCTATTTAGTAAATGCCAGTACTTGACTTCTATCCCACCAAAAGTAAGTGGTAATTTAGCCACAGATGGTAATACGTTAGCTGAAGTAAATTCTATGGCCCGCCCATTACCACTTCAGCTTACTGATCCGTTGGGGTTATGTCGGTTATTCTTGTTCTTCTGCGGATATCCTCATTTCTAAATTTATCACACATAGAAACCTCGAGCATAGTTCTCCCCATAGCTCGTTGAGCGATCTTGAGCATCCTCATACGGCCAACAGTGAAGGACCACGTCTCAGATCCGTCATCATTCAAATCATCACTGACAACAGGCACGGACTGTACAATCTTCTTTTTAAGTTTTAAGGTATACCTGGCGAGAAGATATGTTGTAATCTTCCGAACATCTTCCGAATTGAATCATTTGATTGACCTCTTGGTCGAAGTTGGACTTATCTAGTCGGAATATTTATCCCAAGTAAACATATTCGTCAACAACTTTGAACTTAGTTAGCTTCCAATAAGTACCGCATAGGTGTAACGTAGACATTACACATGATCTTTGCTTTGTGTTTGTTTATTTTAAGTCTGGTAGGCTGGTACTTGGACAGCTATCGTCAACAACTCCGAACATAGTGCTCCCAACAACTACCGGCATAGGTGTGACTTTAAACATGATCTTTGTTTTGTCCATGTTCATCTTAAGACCTATCCGTTGGGAGGCACTATTGAGGTCATTGAGCATAGTGCTTAGGTCCTCCAGCGATTCTGCCATAAGGACTATATCGTCGGCTAATCGAAGGTGAGTGATGTACTCGCCATTAATGTTAATACCGTGTCCTTTCCAGTCCAGTAGCTTAAAAACGTCTTCCAATGCAGCGGTGAAGAGTTTCGGGAATATGACGTCACCCTGTCTTACACCTCTCTGTAGTTGGATAGGTTTCGAACTCTGGTTCTGTACTCGGATAGCTATCGTAACCCTACTGTACAAACACCTCAGCACTTCGATCGATCAATTTGGTACCAAGTTGGCTGTCGGTGTATCGAAGTGCTAAACATATTCTACATACGCAAGACAAAGAGGCAGATTGTACACTTCAGTCTTCTGTACGATTTGCCAAAGGGTGTGTGTTCGGGCTATGGTACTAAAGCTTTTTCGGAAATAGACTTGTTCGGCTCCACACGTGCACTATACGCGTCATTACTAATCCCAGGACTACTACTCCCAACACCAATACACTAGGAAGGACATACGATCATCGATAGTAAGACAATTATTTCGCCTCTAAACGAGGCATCCTCACGTGAAGTACTCAGGTTCTACGGTGGTTTACCGCTTAAAGCCAATTTATCTTAGCATGTATTAGTTAATCACAAACTTTACTCCTAATCTAAGTTTTTTTCTTAGCATAACAAAGACCTGATTAATATGTGTGCAGGTTCGGCCGTAAACCGATAATAATTATCAGCTCCGTGGGAAGTTGCATTGGACATCTAAAGGCTTTCACGTCATCGTACTATGTGTACCTGTTTATTGAAATGCTTGAAGCAGCGATAATGGGAGGCACGTATACGGCAGGCTCGATTTTATGTAGGTAACAAAAATACAATGTGATTGGAAACAGTTCTTAGGGGGACCGACTACAAAACCCCCCCCTTGGGAGCGCCCCCACCTTTTTTTTTTTTTTTTCCCACACACCCCCCAATCCACAACCCCCCCAATATTAATAATTTGTTTAGGCGTGGGGGGGGGTTTGGAGCCTCAAAACGACAACTAATATTTAATCTTTTTATTCGGTTGTAGAAAAAATTGTTAAACGAGGACTGTGATATTATTTGAAAGTGCCAAAATGCTTCATCGTCGTTCATATTGCAGCCCACCAAAAGCCCACTGCTAAACATAGGCCTCCCTCAAAAAATACCACAAAACAGGACCCTGGGCTCCTTTGAACCATCGTCTTCATGCCTTACTAGGTTGTCACTCTATCTATTAGAAGGCCGTCCTTTACTTCACTCACCAATACGCGGCTGCCTTAATGTTTACTTGTAAATCTTTTTCCCCACAGTTTATCGAAGCGAGTGAGTGAGATAAGTGAAGGGCTAAAAGGAATGACGATAATGAAGATGAAAGAAAATACACATAGATACAAATTAATATAATGTTAAAGAGAGTTAGCGCTCACCCTTCATATAAAATGGTACGAATACTTCGGATTAACATTTATCGAATACAATCTCGGATCGGAAGCAGTGCGTAAGCACTGACAGTCTTGTTCTTATTATTTTAGTACAGCTGCTAGCTAGTTTCTACAATCTTGGTTAATAGAGTAGAACTGTCCAATTTTATAATAGTAAAAAGAAATACCTCAAAACTCACTTTATATTAATCAACACAGTTTTTTTTATACATTAATCTTGAACATTTTTAATTTTAGTGATTGAAACTGCCGGTAAAAACAGAATTCTAGCTGGAGTTCTCTTCGCGTACGCTATTTACATGGGAGAATCAACATTTGCTTATATAGCAATGTTCGTGCCTTACTGGAAGGATTTGATCCGAATCATTTACACTCCTCCTATCATATTCATTTCCTACATATTCCTCCTGAAAGAGAGTCCACGATGGCAAATACTAAATGGACGGACAAAAGACGCGAAAAGTACACTTCTAAATATAGCCAAAGTCAACAATATTAACATAAACAAGCAAAAATTAGCAAATATGAACGATGAAGACCTTAAGAAACAGTTCAAAATAGAGAATTATGAACAAAAGGAAAGTTTTAGGGATGTACTGAAATCAAAAGTGATTTTAAAACGTGTATTAGTTGCATGCTTCTGCAGATTTACTACCACCCTTATTTATTATGGGTTAATGTTGAATTCGGTGTATTTGCCCGGGAATAAGTACACGAATTTCTCGCTATCTACGGTAATGTCGTTTCCTGGGGAGCTAATATCAATGTATTTGATGAACAGAATAGGAAGAAAGCTTCCAATAATGTACGGTTATCTTATTTGTGGATTACTCTGCGTGGCATCTGCATGGATTCCTGAAGGTAAGAATGTTATTATTTTCTATCCACTCGCATGTCGGGGTCATTTTGGCCAATGTGGCGCATCTGTCGAGCACTTCCCGAAGTACTTCCAGAATACTTCCTGCTGTTCATTAAAATGACTGTTTCCAAAACATTTTGTATAAAAGGTATATTAAAATCATTTATCAATGGAAAATTTATTAAATAAGCTATCAGATTATGTATAACTGAATACAGGTTTACTTCGAAAGTGATACTAATTTGAAAATGAAAGTAAGAAAAGTGTTTTTCCCCAATTTTCTGCAAAGGTGTAATAATTATAAATTAAAGCCTTTATTCCAAGTACTATTTGTTTTAATTGTACGTCCAAAGCATATTTAATTATAAAAAAAAAACACATTATTAAATCAAATTTAGACAAAATCAATAATGCAGATGTATGTTATATAAATCATATATATGTTACAAATAGTTTGCTGTCACTCGACGCCATATTATGGCGTTTGACAGACGAGGGGATATACTAAAGGCTAGACGACTTTCAGACTCAGAAGCTAGAGATTTGGGTTTGAATATTACTAAAACTCTGTTTCTGTACCAGGCATAAAATCTTACGTATATTAGCTATTCTTGTTAGCGCTTGCAATACACTCTTAGAGATAAGTTTTTTAGGAATATGTAACTTACTTATATCCTGTAAGATTTTCCCTAATACTCTGAGTTAAGGAGTTTGTCTGGTATCTGTTCATACCTTATTACATTGTTATATTTTATACCTTGTTTAATTATTAATAAATATTTAATTCTTTCCCTCTTTCGCTGTCTCTCCTTCTCTCTCTTTCTCTTCGCATTTAAAAATAGTGTATTAAATCGTAAATGTTTCATTTGCAGGATACGTGTGGCTTAAAATATCCCTCTTTCTATTCGGCAAGCTCCTTGTGTCCATATGCTTCACTGGAATTATCACGTACACCATGGAGTTGTTCCCTTCCAGCGTCCGGGGTACCTTACTCGGGGTGTGCGCGGTGGCTTCCAGGACTGGGAGCATTTTTGCACCTTTAACGCAAATTCTGGTCAGTATAAATGTTTTTTATTACACAATAACTAAGTGCATGTATGTGTGCGTGTGCGCGTGCGCGTGCGCGTGCGGGTTCGCTTGCGCGTGCGCGTGCGCGTTCGCGCGCGCGAGTGTTTGTGTGTGTTCGTGCGTGCGTGTGCATGTGAGTATGCGTGTGCGTGTGTTTGTTCGTGCGTGCGTGCGTGCGCTTGTGCATGTGCTTGCACAAAAGCATACAGCATAAAAAAAACATTAAGCTGCTATTTTACGCACCTGCGTACATACAAAAACCACGCTCTAACAGAATATCTTTCTGTCGAGTCGACCCATTCGTGTTACAACCATAATACAACTGCAGTATGGCTCTACCACGTACAAAAAGAGAAAACAAGTAGGGAGAAGCATGTACCGGTATTTTTAAAATTACCGGTGAATAATCGGTTCTCATATAAGTCGGGTTTTCAGCACACCTCAGTGACACCTCTCATCGGACCGTAAGAGAATACATCACACCATTTCGTCTTGTGGGTGTCGGAGGTGAGTATGGAAAGTGCTAGAAAGAGTTCATGGCATCTGACAGATAGCGGTATAATCATTTCATTTACCCAAAACTAGCGACGGGGAGCTACTTCAATGATGTGAACAGTCTGGTGCTGCAATCGTCAATGCTTGGTAATTACAAGACAATCCTGATATCATAGGCGAAGCCCATGTCAAGCTGTAAACTTTTAAGGAGTGAAGAATAATCACACATTGGCTATATATTAACGGCGTAGAACTCAGCTGCATGCATGTCTTAGATGTTACTCCTTACTCGCTACCCCAGCTACCTGCTACTCGCTACCCCAGCTACCGGCTACTCACTACCCCAGCTGCTTGCTAGGTGGTCCTAGCACTAACCTTACACTATTAGCATACTTCTCACCAGAGGCGAATTTTTCGGGGGAAGTCGATTCCACAAGGAAGTTGTGCAAGGAAGAAAACTTCTTTTAACTCGCACAGTGGTGGACCGCCAATCATCCAGATGGTATCGTGAGTTTTGTCGCTATGTGCGATGATGAAATGAAGCGGCTGGAATTAGTTAGAACAATTTCTCAGAGCACTCTCCGTGGTAGATGCGATAAAATACGCAAAGAAATGCAACATCTCTTCGCAGTGCAAGTGAATCAAACTGATCAGAAAGAGCTTGGTCGGTGATGATTCGAACCGATCTGCACTGAATGCGATTAAATGAAAGGAGCTGGCACTTGGGAGCTCCAGCGCAGAGATGGGGACAGTATTCCATGTAAGACCAATCTTGCGCCTTTTTACCGGTAAAGTGGTATTCCATCTTAATCCGCAAGGGTGTCAACACATCCGCATTTTAGTTCTTAATATGGAATATATATGTAGACATCTATGGCACACACATCCAAATCAGGTACCATCAGGTGGACAGTGTGCTCTTCAACAGCCACTTACTATTATTTCTTTACTAAACATATATTTATGTTTTACAGAACACAGTGTCCATCATCCTTCCATCAATGCTTTTTGGCGGCTTAGCCATTATCGCTGGTGCTCTCCTGACTCTAATGCCTGAAACAAAAGACTTACCACTGATGGATACGGTAGGACAAATAGAGAGAAGCATAAAACTACGAGAAATACGAAACGACATAAGTACGAAAGGCGAAGAACGTAGCGATTTGATAGCATAGAGTTGGGGACATTTGTTAAGAAAATATCGACAACAGTGAAGTTTTTCAAGTTTAAATTTAAAATCAATAAACCTATAAAGTAACAATGAAAATATTATTAAACCTGATCTTTCTGATTTTATTACACCACATTTTTATTAATAGTGCCGTGTAGAGGCGGTTAAGAATATCCACTACTCCATATCTTTCCGTGAGTTTCGTAAAAGGCGACAGAGGGAGACAGGCAAGAGATGGGTAGATATCTTCCTGATAACAGCAACTGTACAACAAAAAAACTGCGGTTGGCAACCCGCTCGCCAAGCGTGGCAACTAAGGCAATATACCCCCAAACAACATCATGTATAATGTCCAGGTCACACCGTGCCGGTAGTTGTTGGGAGCACTGAGCTCGAAGTTGTTGACTAGTACGTTTACCTAGCACTGAGACTAATAGTCAGACTAGGTAAGTCCAACTTCGCTTGAGAGGTCAATCGGTCGGATCCAATTTGGCTGCACAACGTTCGGGAAATTACGATACATCTTCTTGTCAAGTATACCTCAATACCGGAAAACTAGATTGTACAAACAGTGCGTGTTGCCAGTGATGACTTATGGATCTGAGACGTGGTCCTTCACTGCTGACGCTCCAGGTCGCTCAGCGAGCTATGGAGAGGGCTATGTTTGGCATTCTTCTGCGTGATAAACTTAGAAAGAGTATTTCCGCATTAGAACCAGAGTGACCGACATAGCCAAATGGATTAGTAAGCTGAAGTGGCAATGAGCTGGCCATATAGATCGAAGAACCGATAACCGATGGGGAAAAAAGATTCTGGAGTGGCAGCCTCGTACCGGTGAAGGCGAAGTGTAGGGCGACCTCCCACTAGATGGAGTAACGACCTGGTAAGACATGCAGGAAGTCGATGGATGCAGGTGGCTCAGGAGTATGCTTTGTGGCATTCCTTGGGGGAGGCGCATGTTCAGCAGTGACTTGCGAAGGGCTGACATGATGATGATGATGACATTTTCACTCGCTTTCATGTGTCTGTTCGGGCTGAATTTATTAATTGATTTTTAAATAACTTACCGATGAGCTACAGACTTGAAATTCAGAACATAGCTCAATCTAATGACAAAGTAAGAATACGAATGTTTAGGAACAAAACGTGATATATTACAAAAATGATATTACTTGTTTAATACTATTTATATGAGTTTTTTTATAAAATTTACCGACTTACACTCAAGTATTGGAATTGTACCTTGGAATAAGTACATACATGTGTGTACTTAAAGGAAATATAGAGAATACCGTGTAGCTGCGATGTAAGGATATCCACTACCCCATATCACCCCGTGGTAGTCGTAAGATGTGACAGAGGGAAACCAATCAGGAGAAGGGCAACAGCGTCTTCCTAACAATGTCTAAAAATAAAAAACTGCGGTTGCCAACCCGCTTGCCAAGCGTGGCAACTATGGCAAATATCCCCCCATGAGGCAATCCATGGGGCAAGCCTATGGTCGCCAGTGGACTTTAATAGGCTGTAACGGTAACTATATACTTAGAGGGAATCCATAATCTATACAAATAAGTAGCTTGCTAGGCAGAAGTTGTTTTGCCCTTTTCGACGACCCTTTGTCATGTCCTATTAAAAATCATTAAATTCGGAAAAAAAGGTAAATCTGTAGAAAATTCCTGTCTGTAATTCTAATATTTTCTAAAAAAAAAAAACAAGTACGGGGGACTAAATTAAGGTCACTGAAGCCAAACTAGTGGTTTTTTGAATTTTTGTCTCGTCTATCTGTATGTCTTTCAAGATTCACGCGAAAAAAAACTACTAGACATATTTCCATGAGTTTGTGTATAAACAACTATAATAAAATACAAAATTCAGTAACATTTTGTTTCAAGTTTCTAAAAATTTAAATAATATAAAGACTGTTATTTAAAGGCATAGTATTCATGCTTTTGTCAGCAGAGAAATCTAGAAATAGATAATTCGCTAGCAAACATTATTAAATCAATCGGCAATTTTTGACATTCTGGATGGCTGTAATTTTTTTTAAAGCAAGTTCAATTCTCTCAATATTATATTTTATATCATTATAATGTAGAGCTTGAGCTGCTTTTCTTAACATGTTTCTTGTTATAAATTAATTAATATTGCTAATATACTTAATAAGATTAAAATGTATGAATTTCTTCCTAAAGTTATTTTAATATTTCTAATCATGTTTTAAGTTATCAATTGATAATTATTATTAATATTGTTAAATACCATTAAAAATTATGAAATCATTTTCAAAAATTATTTTAATATTTTTAAACAAGTTTCTTAGTATATATATATATATATATATATATATATATATATATATATATATATATATACATGTGTGTGTGTGTGTGTGTGTCGGAGGAAGTAGTCTGAATCAAGTTATTGCTGGTTTTCATCGCGTGATATCGATTTTTCTCTAAAAATAATGCTCTGTTAAATAATTATTTTATTTTATTTCATTTGTTAGATTTTGTTATTGTATAGAATCTTATTTAATCTCATTAAAGTTACTGTATTGTACTTCATACATGTTAGGAGCGATACATAGAGCAGAGGGTAAGCCTCGAGTGGGGTCGAGGCGCCATTTTGACGGTTACCGCACGATTACTTTTTAGTGTTTGTGGATTGTGGTGAAGAGGCATTCTACATTTCTTGGTGTTTGTACGGTGAAGTCGTGAGATCGGTGTCGCGAATCTGCTGCTCATACTTTGTTTATATTAAACGTTTTAAATTCAAAATAAGTTTTTGCAAAGCAGTAATTCCTTTAGTGACTTTCAAAATTGTTAAGCTTTAATTAAATTGTACAAAAACAGTGAATACTTTTTGTGCTCCCATTCAACCCTAATGACGCCCACTAGATCCGTGGCCACCGATTACCATATCAAGGAGCATTGTGTTTCTCCGACATCAGAAGTGGGATCGGTGCAGGCACAAAACGCAGATAAATGTATCGAGGCGAACGAAGGTTTACGCGCTTTGAAGCGCAGCAAAATAGCATGCGACTACTTGTGGAGGCACTACGCAACCCGCCGGCTATCGTGGACAAGAATATTGGATTATCTGAATTCCACCACGAAAATGCAGACACTGATGCCCGAGCCTGGCTAGCAACTGCGGACATCTGTTTGTCGGATCGTGATATACAGGGAAGTACACTTATTTCTTACACTTAGTAAGGCCATTAAAGGATTAGCCGCAACATGTTTGTCCCAAATAGCTTTTCCTAATATGAAGTGGGTAGAATTTAGATATTTTTCTTTCTCGTTTTCATACTTTAGAAACGGCGACAATTTTAAATGTTTACTGGTAGACCGCAAGAAGGTGAATGTCTCGCTGCGTATGCAAGTTGTTTATTTACCTCACTCGTGTCACGATGGGGTAAATTAGACAAAGAAGAAATGGTGGTATCTGTAATACTCGCTCACATGGGGCAAATCGAACCAAGGTTGCAACGGAACATTTTTTTTTTGAAAAAATAATCACCGGCAGTAAGATGCAACGTGAATTTATGGCATTTTCATATCGTAAGCGGAGTTATCAAGATAATTTAAAGACCAGTGCAAATAATATGCAGGATATCAAACGTCCTAGGTTAAGTGTTGCTTTTCTTCTTTTTCATGTCTCTATGATCTTTTGAATGTTTCAGCCGTTCGCATGACAAACAGCAAACAACTCTGACTTCCATTCGCCCCAACTCGGCCGTGGCTATAACGAGAACCTCCGTGACATGCTACAAGTGCGGTACTGAGGGTCACGTGGCATCACGATGCTCGAAAACGTGGCCAGTTGCAAGCGGCAGCACCCAGCCTGCCGCCACATCCAGCGTAGTAAAACGAGTGGACTTATGCGGTGTGAAACCTATCACCGGGGTGATCACTCAATTTGGTGAGCAGTTTTCATTTTGCTTTGATTCCGGTGCTGATTGTTCCCTAGTTAAAAAGAGTATCTCACTTAAACTTGATGGTGAAATGCAACATGCAATTGTTACTCTGATAGATGTAGGGAAAATCTAGTGTATTGTGTGATTTACAGGTTTTATCTCTGGTTACTCTTTGTGGTCATGACGTACAAATTTTATTTTACCTTATACCTGATGATTTTCTGAGTAATGATATTCTGATTGGACGCGATTTATTGGCTTTAGGGTTTTATGTACACATATCAAGTGACAAACTTACTATAGTCGAAAAGTCTTCTCTTGTTAATATTTGTGACGTAGGTAAGGCTAAGACTTCGATAATGTAGATACCGACATTACAAATAATTTAAACCACAATTAATGAAACTTCTTGGCTGCTTTAAGGACTCATTTGTCGAAGGCACGCCTACAAGTAGAGTAAAGACGGATGAATTAGAAATTAAAATAATAGATCCTTACAAATTCGTGCAACATCGGCGTTACTGCTTGAGTGCTGAGGAACGGGTAATAGTGCGAAATAAGTGTAGTGAATTATCTGCTGGGGTTATTAGACCTAGTAAATCCCCATTTTCTAGTCCCATCTCGCTAGTGAAAAAGGATGGTCGTGGACTATCGTGTATTAAATCAAATAACCGTCAAAACTAGATATCCTCTCCCCTAGATCAACGACTATATAGATAGGTTAGGTAATGCTCACTGGTTTAGCTGTCTGGATATGGTTTTCGGTTTCTATCAACTTAAGAGTTGCAGAAGAGTTGATTCATAAGATCGCATCCGTTATACTAGAGGTCCAGTATATTAATATTGCAAGGTACATTAAAGTTACTGTATTGTGCTTGTGGGGTCGAGGCGCCATGTTGACGGTTATCGCAAGATTAATTTTCTTTTTTAGTGTTTGTGGATCGTGGTGAAGAGGGATTCCTTTCTTCTTTCTTGGTGTTCGTACGGTGAAGTCGTGAGATCGGTTTAGGGCATAACGGCAAACAGTGTAAATACGTATTAAAATTACCAGTTTTCACTGACATTTAAAATATTTTTTAACTGTGATAAATTATACCCGCTCTAATTTACGCTTTAACTAGACGATTGAATTATTTTCTCCTTAATATATAGTTGATATCTTCATCTCTTTATTTAGCTTCTTCAAAAACTGGGCCAAGTAAATTGTTTACTTATTACTTTTCGATATGACCAGAATAAAAAGCCGCATGATGACAGTATAAAAAATTCATCGCGCCATTTCACAACAGGCGATTATGGAATACCAAAAGACTACGACTTTCGACAGTTAACGGTTTAAATCGCCTTTACGCCAGGAGTAAAATAACCAGGCGACAGCGACGGACAGTAGTAACAAACAGTAGTAGTAAACATCCGGTACTGCAATTGTCAATTCGTTTGCTAAGCGTGTTGATTTTTTAGCGTGAGAGAATCCAGCATCTGTAAGTTTTCATACAAATTGTGTAAAATAATATATAGTTAAAGTTAGTTAAAGTTATAACATAATATAAACGTCCCACTTCTGTGTAAGTGCTAATATAATATAAACATTAGTTCACAAGATGATCAGCTTGATCAGTGTAAAGCCAAAAATTATTTTAATTACAATACAATAAATTTTGGGTATTTTATATTTTTAGATCTGAATCCTCGCCAAAATGCTGCTGAGCAAGCGAATATAGCTCGTCAGGATTTTTTGGCAGTCGCAGAATCAAATGCAGAATCAATGAGGGTCATAACATTACATCTACATTCTAAACTAAACAGAAGAAATACCAACAATATATATTTTTACGTGGTAGAGCCATGCTGCAGCTATATTAGTAGTATACTTGTGGTGTCGGCTCGACCGGGGAAGGACCACGCCTATGTTAAGTTATATTAAGTTACAGCCTATATACGCGTCCCACTGCTGGGCTCAGGCCTCCCCTCATTTCTGAGAGGGTTTAGGGCAAGGAAGTGTCCGCCGCGCTGCCCAAATGCGTGTTGACGAACTTCAAATGTCTTCGAAATATTTTTTTTTCTTATTCCTCAGACATGCAGGTTTCCTCACGATGTTTTCCTTCACCGCCGAGCACGTGGTATATTAGCACTTAAAATTGCAATTAACAATTTCATTGGTGCCGGCGGGAATCGAACCCGGGTTACTCGCGTTCTGTTATATTTACAGCGAGCGTTAACCACTGAGCTACCACGCCTATGATGAGTAGTGAACCGGAGACCCTAACCCTAACCTAAACCCTTGACTAGTAACTAGGCATTCCATTTTAGTCCTCAGGAGTGACAATGCATCTGCATTTTGATTCTTAATGGGGGGAGGGAGATGAAGGCAAGGATATGGGTCAATTCAAAACATTAGGTGGACTCTGTGCTCACGTGGCAAACTTATTGTATAAAAAAAATGTTGTTGGCCTGCCAATAGATATTATATGCTATAGCATACATTAACCTAAAGATTCACTATCATGCTAGAGAGAACTAGCAAGCATTTCTCAGTCTATCTTATTTTTCATTACAGATGCTGGCAGCTGCAACCGAAGTGCAAGCAGAGGCCACCAAAATGCAGGCAGAGGCAGCAAAAGCGCAGGCCGAGGCATCTATTTTATTAGCACAGGCTGGCAATAAAATAGGAGATGCGTTAATCTTATTTGTATATAAAAATAATAAATAAATTAATATGTTTAATGTTTTATTTCGATTCACATAATAGAATAGAATCGTTTTTATTCAATATAGATTTTTTAGTAATTTTTTTTAATTTTGCCACTGGTTGGAAGAAAACCTCTGTCCTGCAAAAAATCCAGCGGGACTATTTTTTATAAAATCAATTTACTTTATACAATTACTCGTAATATGAAACATTTCCTATACACGGTTTGCCCAGTGCCAGTTAGTTACTCCTCCTGTAATAAAAACATAAAATTTTAAGATTTTTCTAATATTACATAAACATCGTATCATCGTATACATCGTATAATATAATCATAGTCTAATATAATATTAACTAAACAACATTATAATCTGTATCTTCCAAGTACCTAATCATCATTATAAACTATCAACGATGATTTCTGTGGATGTGGTGACATATGGTTCCATCATTCTATATTTAATATGCATGTTGTGTAGCACTGCACATGTATTTACTACTAGGCCAGCAGTGTATGGCGCATACATTAACTGGCGTTGATGGGACAGACACCTAAAAACAGACTATAGCACACCAAAGCATCTCCCTATGATGTTTCTGGCTGAACCATGAACATGAGAGAAAATCAACACCTTGGGACACCTATGTTCCGGTGTCCCAAGGTGTTGATTTTCTTGGAGTCATCAACCATGGCTCCAGAGGATATCCATCCATCCATTTATCACCTACAAGCTTAAACATCGAAATTACAATCGACAGTCTTACAGTCTTTTCTAACTTACCAACTCGCTTCAGAGCCGGTTCACACTAGTCGTAAGTCGCATATGACTAAAAGTCGAATGATCTGGTCACCATACACTTTATATGGAGCTGTTCACATTGGATGAGACGCGATTTTTAGTCTAATACGACTCAAAATCCCATCCGACGGGCCAGCCAAAGAGTATAATAAGTATATATAGGAAGGGCCAGCGCCCGTTGTAAGACTAAAAATCGCGTCGAATCGTGCTCGCATAGGTGCCTGTTTGTTGCTGTTCACACTAGTCGTGCATCTAATCTACTCGAGCGCGTTGTTACCTCTCTCCCCACCCCGCTTCCTAGTTCGCTACACATTGCTTGCTCACTCCATTCGTGTTTTATTCTTCGTGTTGGTTACGCGCGCGCTGTTTTTGTTTGTTGTGTGAAAATGGAGAAAGAAATAAAACCCGAAGAACTAATTCCATTAGTTCACGAAAGAGCAGTCCTTTGGGATAAAACTTTAAATGACTACAAAAATAATAATCTGAAACTATTGGCCTGGCGCGAAATTTGTACCATACTAATGCCTAATTTTGAAAACATGGAAGAAAAAGAAAGACAACATTTCGGTAAGTGCCAATAAAGTTTATTAACTATTATACTACATAGTTATGTATTTACAGTTGTATTGTTAATTTTTAACTCATTTATATTATGCGTATCGCGCATTAGTTTGCCAAGGCAGCGAACCAATCGGGGAAGTAAAATAGTCTGCAAAGTCCTATCGTATAAAATTTGCAATCGGACCACCACGAGGATTATGTACTCTCTGTTGTTGATCTTGTTCTTGTATCGATTGTTCTAGTGCAAGTTGAATATCTTCAAAATTTAGACCATCCCTTTCTCTTAAATAATTATGCAATACTGCACTGGCTTTCAGAATATGGATAGCTGTGTCTGGGTGGACATCCAATGGTCGATGCAGTATTCTCCATTTATTAGCTAAAATTCCAAAAGCACACTCAACAAATCTTCTTGCACGGCATAATCGATAATTAAATATTCTTTTCGTATCATCCAAATGATTGCCTCCGAAAGGTCTCTTTAAATTTGTCGTCAGGGGGAAAGCTTCATCGCCAACTAGTACATAGGGCATATCCTTTTCGATTGTTTCATGAAGAGGCCTTGGCTTTGGTATGTTTAAACTACCATCATTCAGTTTCTTCCAAAAGGTAGTCTCCTTGAATGTGGAAGAATCGCCTTCTTTCCCATATGAACCAACACTTATATAAATGAAACGGTATTCTGCATCAACAACAGCTAGTAAAACAAATGAAAAATAACCTTTGTAATTGAAATACATCGAGCCGCTTTGATTTGGTTTCACTACTCTAATATGCTTGCCGTCGACGGCTCCAATACAGTGTGGGAAGTTGGCTTTAATATCAAAACCATTTCCGATTTTTTCCCATTTATTTTCATTGTCGGGCAACTTCATAAACTCTTCTTTTAATGTATCCCAGATAATGCAACTCATTTCTTTGATAATTTTACTAACAGTTGATACCCCGACTCTGAAATTGTAGTGCAGGTCTTTGAAGGAACATCCTGACGCACAATATCTGAAAATAATGTTGCAATATAATTTCAGGTAAATTAGTATTGACCAAGTGGATGAACTTACGGAATGTCTGGATCCGAACAAACAAAAATGATGAAAAAAATCAGGATCAGGGGCAAAGTCGTCAAAGCCATATGTATATAAAGAGCAAATGGATTTTTTGCGTAAAGTTGCTAGACCTAATCCTCCTCAAGAGTCTGTTGCGTCGCGTATATCTCAACCAGGGACAGAAGGCAGTACTCAGTTGTCTGAAAATTCGCAACCAAGCACTTCTAAAAGACAAAAGACCATGCCACCACAGCAACATATAATGGACTTAGATGTCAAAATGAGTGAGTTTTTAGACAGCAGGCTATCACAACAAACTGATCCCCCAATTTTATCATTTTTTAAAGGTATCCTAAAAATTGTATAATGTAATAAGCTCTGTTACGTCTTTCGACGATGACGAAACGTTGGAGCTTCAATCAGGTGTATTATCACTGACACAACAAATCAAAAAAAAACGTGAAAACAGACTTTATGCAAATAATTATAATTACGCGCGTGATAGCACACGGCGATCGGGGTATTCGACACAGAACTATAATTATTTATCTACCGATGAATCCGGATATTCCTCTCAAAACCAGGCTGTTCTTACACCACATGGGTCTGGATATGAAAGACGTCAAACGTATGAGGAAGGATCGCCTGCTGCATCTACTTGGTCGGAAAGTACTGAATTAAATTTCTCCGATTTTTGAATTATTGTAATATGTTGCGCTGTTTACCTACTTGAAATAAACAAGTTAAAATAACTTTTGTTTCAATTTCAATACACCTAAGAAATCACACTACAACTGCTACAATCAGACTACTACACTACAAATACCATCTGAATATTTGTAGCAGTTGTAGTGTGGTTCTAAAAAACAACTACCTAAGAAATATCGACAGTCTTTCTTCAGGACAAATACAGTCTCTAAATGTCGTATTCCGATACGTGATGCTCGCAGAAACTCCTGGCAGTAGGTCGTTGAAAGTTGCTTGTGACATTCTAAAATAATTAAAGAATTTTCGTTCGTCATTTTTTAATTCATGTATTAAATTTTTATAACTACCTAAAGTCGATCTTTCTGTTAGGATTGGGTGCATCCAGTATTTTCTTGGAATTGACTTTTTTTCAACTTTTTTAATTTTCTTCGTAAGTAGTAGAGCACAACAAGTTCTTCGTCGGCGTCCATCTCGTGAGTTCGCTACGTACCGAATGGCGCGATCTACGACCTATACGATTCGCGACGCAGTGTGAAGTACATCAGACTTTCGACTTTTAAGCGCTTATTACATTATACAATTTTTAGGAAATCTAATTAGGAAGTAGGAAGGTGTAATCGTAGTTAGAATAGTTAGGATCCGATTTAGTCAAATTGGAGGTCCCAATCGCTCTACTTCCTAAATTGTTTCCAATTTAGGACAGTGTAATCGCAACGTTACGATTTAGAACAACCAGTCGGCGCCCGCGCTTTGATACAAGCGGATGTCTTGAAGTTTTGATACAAGTGGTTCTGATATCAGAGAGCAGTACTTTAAATCTTAATATTAATTTCCGGTGGCTATAAAACGTAATGTCACCATCAAACATTCTTTGGCACTCACACTTTATCGAAATATCGTGACTTCTTTTTCAATATGTTTACGATACCAAACTTAACAAATAATCAAACTGTTTTATAGGTGGTAGAGCCATGGTGCAGTTATATTAGTTGTATAGTTGTAGCACGAATGGGTCGGCTCGACCAAGGAAGGACCACGCTTTCACAGAATACCAGCGTAAAATAGTAGCTTAATGTTGCTGTGTTTCGTATGGCGAGTGTAGAGAACCGGATACCCTTTTTACTGGAAATGAGGCATTCCATCTACATTTTGATTTCTAATCGGAGATAGATGTAGATGTCCATGGGTCGCAGCAACCACTTACCATCAGGTGGACTGTATGCTAGTTTGTCACCCTATCCTATAAAATAACTGCTTAGATTCTAAAAATATATAATTATATTCATATTGGACAGTTTTTTTCTCAATGACAAGTACTCTTTTCTCTTTTTTTAATATCCATTGTTCCCACCACGGCTAAGGCAAGTCCTATTTTCTGCTGTTTTGATAAATACGGCGCCATTGATCAAACGTGCAACCCCGTCGATACTTCTTTACGAATGCGCTTCGTCACGATTTAGAATTCAATTTAGTGTAATGTGATCACTAGCTTCCAATTTAGGTTCCTAATTAGATTTTCTAAAAATTGTATAATGTAATAAGCGCTTTAGTCATATGCGACTTACGACTAGTGTGAACGAGCTGTCACGGTTGAGCGTACAGATGAATTTGCCCATACGTGAGCATTGTGTCCTGCTCCTGGCCATTTAGTATTGATGTTTAAAATTAACAGGTCTGGGTCATAGACCTAAAATAATTTAAAATATACTTAATTAAGGGTGTACCTACTTGTTCTAATAAATAAGTAAATAGATTTATTTATTATTGACGACGTTCTAGAGTGTAACTAGGTTCAATACAATTATAATCTAATAGGAATATATATATATAGTTATCCTTGAAACTAGTGGTTTGGTTTCACTTAAGTACGTAAATTCAATGAAAAATAACATTTTTTTAGTAAAATCTCAATTTTTCCTTAAAATTATTTCACCCTAGGCGCGTAGGCACAGTAAATTCCAGCAAAAGTTACATCACAGGTTATGTGTGTTTTTATTGGAATGTTGTATAGGTAGCTAGGGCGGGCGGTGATCCGAATGAATTTACGGACGGTGTCTTTTTAAATTTTTTGCAAGAAAATAGCGTTTTTTTTTAATTCGGATAAATGTTTTTATATTAAAGCCAACTACCTATGGTTTTATTAATTTTAATATATATATATATATATATATATATATATATATATATATATATATATATATATATATTCGTATTTCTCAGACATACAGGTTTATCCACGATGTTTTCCTTCACCGCCGATCACGTGATAAATTTCATCGGTGTAGACGCGGATCAAACACGGGTTGTTCATGTACTGCGAAATTTAAAAAAAACAAAATAATATATTTTAAATTAATTTTATTTTAAAAACTCATGCCCTTGCAATGTTTTCTCACCGAGAAACGTAAATCAGAACTTAAAATTGCATATAAGATTTTCAGATGTCGCGTCATTGTGGTTTTAATTTTCTTTTTGTAAAAAAAACTACCTTAGCATTAACGTTATAATTTTTATATATTTGAAGACATGCAGCTGCGCAGCATGGAAAGGCCGTGTATTGGCGAGAGCTGCGGCTTCCAATCCACTTGTTAAGCATAGCAAATGTGGCAAATAATGGTAGAGCCATGCTGCAGTTATATTAGTAGTATAGTTGTAGCACGAATGTGTCTGCTCGAACGGGTAAAGACCACGCTCTCACAGAATACCAGTGTAAAATAGCAGTTTTACGTACAGCGTAGAGGCTAGAGACAATTATTATAAATACAATTAATATAGATGCAGCATGGCTCTACCACGTTAAATATATATGTTTATTCGCTTGAATATTTTGATCTTGTTTATTTCATTTCATTTTATCTGTCGCTTACTAAGGCAGCATGCTTACTAACATTGTCAATATTTATGCAAACAATTGGAACCCACTTCACGCAACAGGCCGTCGAGAAATATTTATTAAATTTTTATTGCGACATAACTATATGGAGTGCTGTTTTTACCTAGCAAACGAGCACATAAACTTCCCGATGTTAAGTAAAACTTCAACAACATGCATTGACCTTGAGCTATGATGGTCCTAATGAGAACGCTACGTCATAGTCATGAAATTATTATATTGTCATTGGTTCTTAATACAGCTGAAAAGAAAAAATACACCTTGACACTTTATGTTCACAATTGTTTTTTTTTAAATATTTATTGTTCTATTTTAAAGGAGAAGTATGAAATTTTGTACTTGACATCGTTCGTAACAGTTATACAAAAATATTATTTAAGTAATAAAATGTTAAATTATAAGCATAATTAAATGGTTTTTATTTCTGTAATACATGGGACAATCATAAAAGTATTTTTAACTAAAAAAAGAAAGCTAACGGTTTTACTTGTGCAAAAACAAAACGTTTTCAATATTTTTGTGTATTTTTTCTTCGGCATTAGATAATGAAGGCTATTTTTTGTAATAAATAGCCTACAGTATCAATAAAAGTTCATAATAACCTCTCTAGAGGTTAATATTGAATAGAAAAAATATATTTAGAAGTTCGATTGAATAGGCTATTAAACTAAAAACAATATTTGTATAATATCTGACACGATAGCTGACATACAGCGCCTGTATAGTCGCTGACCATTGCCCATTTCGAAGGAGACTTAACTTGCGCACAGCGCACTTCCAGTGTTGCCACTTTAGCGACTTTGTCGCTAAATCTAACGAGTTTTTTATTTAGTTGGGGAGTTTAATTCAATGTTTAGCGACAAAAAATATTCTGGCGAATTTTAGCGACATTTGCACTTACTTCAATTTTTGTTACCATCTGACTACTTTAGGCGTAAGGAATACTATACACTATCCCTTAAAGAAATAATAAAATGTAAAGAAACCGAAACAAAGGTTCTCTGAATGTCGCTTGTACAATAATAAACACATTTAAAAAGCACAACTACATTCCATCACATATTACAAATAAATCACTTAACATGTACAACATTATTATGCTCATATTGCTTATATATATATATATATATATATATATATAGTACCCGGTTGACCGAGTTATATTTAGATACAAATTACATACTGATGAAATACGAATAACATTTTTTGATCGTAGCGACATAATAGAAAAAACTGAACTGGTTATTTGAATAAAAAATCATCAGTGCAATTAGTTTAATTAAAATTTTCGTGTTTTTAAAAAATACTAAAAAAAGGGGCTCGAAAAAATAGATTTTCTCAAAAAAGAAAGGTACTTGAAAAAAAATTAAAAAAAGTCGGTCGGTTGGTCTGGGCTCGAACCATGGTATTACTGTTTTGTGACTGCCCAATAAACCAATTCAGCTATATGATTACAAATAATAAACTGTCAAAATTTACCTTCTTATTCTAACGATATTGTAGCAGTTTTTCATTGCCTAAAAACACAGACAAAAAGACATTTTCTAAAAATAAATCCTAGCTAGATCGATTTATTGCCCCCGAAACTCCCTGCACACAAAATTTTATGAGTATCGTTGGAGCCGTTTCCGAGATTCCGATTATATATATACAAGAATTGTTATACTTTAATCCTTTTTTTTTCGATTTTATCTTTGTTTCGCGTTTTTTTTTATAAAATTAAATTTAGCGACATTTGGGGACTTTTTTGTTACTAAATTCATGTATAACTAGGGACTTTGACGGCAGTCTAGAGACCTGCGGTAATTCAATGTGGCAACACTGCGCACTTCGAATTTCAGTTTGTCATGCGCATTTGGCATTGTGGTTGTTTTTATGAATATATGTCACATTTTTAGTTTTCGTGGATTAATTTAACTTGACCTTTAGCTTTTCCCTCGGATAACAGGATAGTAGGATGTTGCGCCCACATAACTTAGGTTTTGAGAAGAATAGAACAGACGATGTCTGTTACCTAAGTAACTACCTCAGTCTGCTTCTCTAGAAAGGATCTAACATTGAATGTAAATTTTTCTTTTGAATAGATGAAAGCCCGGTATAGACATTTGCTTATATATGCGGTATAGACATTTGTCACTGATGTACTTTCGTGAAGAGCGCTTCGATATGACATCAAAAACAGTTGTATGTGCTTGTCTCAATCTCGTTGCCGATTTTCCACAACTTTTGCTAGGTACCTCCAATGTCTGATTAAATAGTTCTACCATTCCATCAGAGTGTGGGTGGTAAGAAGTTGTTTTTGTTTTATGAGTACCCATAACTCGGCAAGTGTCCTCGAATATTTGAGACTCAAAATTCATACCTTGATCTCTGTGAATTTCTAAAGGTACTTCATAACGACAGAAGACTTCATGAACTAGTTTATTTGCAACTGTTGAGACTCAAAATTCATTCCTTGATCTCTGTGATTTTCTAATGGTACTTCAAAACGACAGAAGACTTCATGAACTAGTTTATTTGCAACCGTCTAAGCTTCTTGATTTGTAATGATGAAAACTTCTGGCCACTTAGTGAAGTAATCCATCACAACCATGAAATAATTGTTACCACTTTCGCTTTCCGGAAACGGCCCCGCAACGTCAATCTTCTCCATTGTGCACCAACATTGTACAAGTTCAATACACTACTTTTTTTTCTAACAGATTAAAGAATAAAGAACCATGCCAAAACGCCTAACTATTCGAAAGAGCTCCCGATTAGGCTTTAGAAAAAATTCATAATAAAACAACGTCTTTGAGAGCTGTTGCAAGAAAATATAACATTCCGAGGGCAACTTTACAATTCAACGAAACACCCTACTTCAAAGTCTGAATTTGGTCTATCACCCTATTTAACAAAGCAAGAAGATTACATTGAGGAATGGTTAATTAAAATGGCCCGCAAGAAAATCAAGAAATCCACTTCCCAAGAAAATCAGGTGATGTATCTACTAGACACCGTTCAAAATTTTTGGATGAAAATCCAAGAGAAACTCCTTTCGTTAATAATAGGTCTATACAGTGATGGCTGATAGCTTTTTAAAACGACACCCCAGCTTGATCCAAAGAACTAGCGAAAGAGTAACCAAAGCTAGTGCTTGTGTAGCTGAATATGACATTAAGAAATGGTTGCAATAAATAAGAAACTATCTGACTAATGAAAACCTTTTAGATGTCAATCAATATCCTCGTTGGGTTTTTAACGCCGATGAGACAAGATTCCAGGCATGCCCTTTAACTGGACGTGTTCTCGCTGCTAAAGGTGACAAAAATGTATATGCCGTGCAGCAGGCAAATGCTAAGGAAAGCGTAACCGTTCTCTTTGTTTTCTCTGCTCACGGTATAACATGCCCTCCATTAATAGTATTTTCATATAAGCGGTTAGCCAATATGGTAGCATCTTCGGTACCGCCAAAATTGGGTATAGGCCGTAGTGATACTGGTGGATGACGGCGGACGTGTTCAATCAGTTTATAACGAAAATATTTTCACCATAACTTACCGAACAGAATATACCAAAACCAGTCATTTTATTTATTGATGGCCACAAGAGACACGTTACACTACAGTTTAGCTTAACGTGCGTTAAGAGCTAGGCATATAACTGATTGCACTGTACCCTTACACTACTCGTATTACTCAACCTGCAGATATGTCTCATTTTTTATATAATATTTTAGTGGTAAACGTACTTATAGTCCACCAGAACGAAAAGAGGCTGCTGCAATCTTTGGACGCTTGCAACCAACTTAAAATAAAAAGTCTGCAGATGTGTTGTATCTCTGAAGACTAAAATGAAAATTCTTACAACCGAATTTATTAACTGGCGCTCTATACCCTTTAGACAGCATTGCAGACACTGGCATTGCTATTTTACTACAGAAATAGATGACAGAGTAGTATCTACCCATACGGACTCAAATCAATGTTTTCAACATTCATATAAATGACTTAACTACAATAATTATTTTAGTAGGTAAACCCTTAGAGATAATTATATCCAAATAAGATGCAGAAATGAAATACTGGCACCTACTCTCTGTTCTTCTGTTTCACTCTTTTGATTTCTGTCGTTAAGGCCGAAAAAGAGTGCAGTTGTAATTGTGTTTAGTTTAGTTGTAATGCTGCTATCGAATATTCAATGATTTACACGGGATGATGTCATTTGCGTCCTTGTTCTCTCTGTTTGGAGATTAACTAAATTACTGCAACGATCACTTATCATCAGATTAGTTGCAATTTTATTTATCACTATTTTACAAATTTACTTATCTATTTTAAGCTAAATGGCATTGCAACTGCGGAAACTAAATAAAGCTGTTGACGAAGAGAATATCGTTGAAATATAAATATACGTCAACCGAAAGATTTTGCTTCGGTAGCCGCAAAATAAAACGATAAACAACCTTAACGAAACATTTTATGTTTATCTTTCGAATCAATTACAAAAGCAATAACTGGCCGTGATAAATATCGACGAAAATGTATATTAGGTTTTCACAAACAGTACTTGCTAATCGAACGATAATGTTTTGCACACAGCAGTTCTTATTAATTCACACAAGTAATAATAACAGACAACATACGGCTTATATATAAAAGATGTCTGAAGGAATTTATTTATAATAATTTTGAATTTAACGTTGAGTATCCGACAAGATGGCGGCTTTCACAAATTTTACATTTCTTGTTTTGTTAATCTGTTGCGTGTTTGCATTCGGGGAACATTCCGGAAGCATTGCCAAGCCAGAATCATCACGGGAACCAGCGCAGGGAAAGAATGTACCAGAACCTCAACAACGTCGTTTAGAAAAACGTTCTCTGGATCATGAAGATGGTGATCTTGATGATACTATTTTCCAACCCGCATATGAGAACGCATTCGACAGGCCGCATAGAATTCGTGTTTTGCCAGGATATCTTCACTAATATACTAATTACTTTGAATGGGTTTTTGCACTAAAAATAAACAGTATTATTTTTAAATATGGGTCATAACTCATAACCAATGTTATTTTTAAGTTTAATGATATATTATTGCTTTCTTTATACATATGTGACATAGTAAAGTGGAAATTGGTTTGAATAAAAATTAAGTATACAACATTTATTTACATTTTTCCTTACACGTACGTATTTGCCTTTTTGTCCAAATTTTATATAATGTATTAGAGATCCGGCCCGGCATTACCTGGGTAGGATCTATTAAGGTGACGTTATTTAGATTTGAAATAATCATCAAAGACAATTTATTTTATTACTTTTACGATTTTTCAAAAAATCACCAGGTTTATCACATAAGATATACTTAGATCTGTTTTTGAAGTTTCATTATAATTGGATCAGCCATTTTGAAGACTAGCCCAGAAAGACAAATTTCTTAAAAATTGTTATTCTTGTCCTCAGATCAATATTATAGACAGATGTTACAGACAGGAACTTTCATTTTATTTATATGTATAGATTACAGGACGAAACGGAAAAGTTGTAATCTAAAGTGGTTAAAGTGCCACTATCACTCACTTTTGTAGTATACATTTGCTTTATTCCTTCTGTGTCCAAACGGCGTGAGTATAGAAAAGATACTTAGATGTAGATCTCTATTAACCACAGCAACCACTAACCGTCAGGTGGACTGTGTGCTCGTTCGTTACCCTTATCCTATAAAAAGTGTGTGGTTTATTTCTAACTAAACAATCACGAGCAGTGCCGGATTAACCACGTAGCAAGAGTAGCAATTGCTACGGGCCCCGCGCAAAAGGGGGACCCGCGTATCCAAGCAACCCATCATTGCCTAAGCGTACATTTTAAGTAAAACTTATTAAGACGGTATATAATTATTATATATTATATTATATAATTTTCTTGTTGTCACATAAACGTTAAAGTTCGCAAATGACAATCGGTAATCAATTATTTATCACAAAAAATGAAACACAGAATTTCATACAGTAAAACAACGAGATCATGCGTTAACATCTGTTTACGGCTTTGCTTTGGCATATGGTCTGACACAACTGGTCACTTTGCCCACGCAGATTCCAGATGTGGAGGATCATACACCTTTTCTGTTGGAACTTCCGCTGACCTTCATCCAGACGGTTTTCAGGTCTCCATCAATGCGCCTCTTGGCCCTTCGGATCATTTACTGATCCGGAGTGTCCGTTACTTGCTCACCGGAGACACAATATGTAGGTATAGGTCGGTGGATTGGGTGGTATGTGGGCCTTTTTTGCATCCTACTCATGAGGAGCGGATTATCTTCTCGCTAGATAATCCTAAAAAATTAGTCGCTGAGTCTGTCATCGATGTGATGCTTTAGGGGATGAAACTTTCATTCCGTCATCCGTAGTGCCTACAGGTGGCATATCCCGGTATTGGTTTGGAAGCTCGTGCAAAATTGCGTCGCGGTAAAAGCAGGAGTCTTACAAAGCCTTGGCTGACCGGTTCCGGTCCCGCGGTCCATCCATCCACCACTAACGCACTCAAAAAGAAGTGCAACCCAGTCTCTAGGTCCTTCAAAAAAGTTATCGCTAGGGCGAAGTCGGAGCACATTGGAAGAATTCGCGAGAAACTAGTTAGCCTTCCTTCGAGAACTCGTGCGTTCTTAACCCTCGGCAAGGCTGCCCAAGAGAATTTCTGTAAACCATCATTACCATCTTTGCGCAAGGAGACTTGACCACGCCGCAAATGAGAAAGCCGATCTTTTAGTCCAACTTGACTCTCGACGACGGGGGGATTACCGCCGACCATTCCACGCTCGATGCCGAATGTGCTGTTTTCTCTTACTCTATAGACGTCGTTTCAAGCTCATGGAATACAGCCTTAGTGCACACGATGCCTAAAAAATGTGAACGCTCGGTCCCGTCCAACTACAGGGCTATCGCTATCTCCTACTTGTTGGCCAAAGTAATGGAATGCAGTACATCTAAGAGCAACAGCTGATCAGTGACCATCAATACGGTGTCCATCGAGCTGGCTCAGTTGGTGGCCTTTTTGTCTACCCGATTCACCGATAACTGTTGGGCGAAGGCAGTCAAGACCAAGATTCAACGTTTCCTTCTTATGGGCTTCCCAGAAATTACGCAATTGGGTCCCTAGTTTTATTAAAGAACAGAGTATGAAGATCACGAGATCGACGGTGCATGCTCCGACTCCAAACCTGTAAATGCTGGTGGTCCATAAGGCTGCGCACTACCTGCATTACATGTCTACTAGTAATATTTATTGTTATTCAGACGTCAGCACTGGCGATGCTTTATACACCTGCCGTACTAATATATCTCGGGAATACGTCGTTGATTGTCGGAACAAACTTGTGTCTGAAAGTCGAGTCTTTGTTAAACAAAGTAATGGATTGGGGGTAACTAAATTTTAATTCCCAAAAGACACAGGCTTGCGTGCTTACCACTCCTCTTGGACCGAAAATTTAACCGCAAATCCTCAAGTCATGAGTTTGGAACTCTAGCCACTGAGCTAAGCAGTCATTAGCCACGCTGTGACATATTCATCATTGCAGAGTAAATTGGTTGGGCTCTCCCAGAATCATCACTATCACCATAATCTTTATTAAACCCAATTACAAGTTTAAACGTTCACCCAAGTAATACCAAATGGTAAGCTTCTGAACCACTGCCATCCATGGACTTTCTACACCTAGTCGTCATTCTATCTAGTGTGCCCTACACTTCGATTTCAGGTACGAGGCTGCCACTAGAATAGAATAAAACCATTTTTATTCAATATAGATGACAAAAGTACTTATTGAAATCATTTAACATTTACTACTGATTCCGAATCAATCCTTTATCCTTTTGCTTAAAAATTGTTTTAAAGTTTTTGTTAGGTCCGGTATATTTCGAGAATATTTTCACCCCATCGGTTGTCGGTTTTTCTAGATAGGACATATATATTATTCAGACCATTGCTATTCCTTATGTTGGGGTATTATGATGGTGATTATAAAGATAATTTAAAATTAATTAATACATTCGGTTTTTGTAAAATTTATTTTTAAATTTTAAAATCATAGATAAACCTTTTACAAAATGATATATCATATATATAAGTAACAGAGTACAATAATACGTTCACCGAGAATTTCGTTGTCAATAGAAGCTTTAAAATCCGTAATGACACTAAGGATATTTTTTAAACCTACATATTATTTACGTGTTATAGAAATAGTACTTACATATTTTTTGCTATCCTGATTTGAAATTTTCTCATTTTATCTTAGGAGCCATAGTATTTAATATAACATTGCGTTGCCACTCTTTACAGAGAAATTACATCTTATTTAATTAAAATTAAGAAATTTCAATGATGGCACCACAAAATCACCAAACAGTCTAATGACACCAACACTTGACATCTGTTACAGAAAGTAGTTCGCACGTGCTGTTCGGTCGAGTTTAACCAATGATCGTCTGTCACGGTAGTAAATTGAGATTAATGGCCGAATTAGCCAACTTGTATAAATTATCACTCTACTTATAAAACTCTGTTTCGATGTTGATTTTGCAACAGTCTTTATTTTGACTAAGGTTATTTTTTGGGTATGTTCCGAAGCGTTTTCAGTATACTGCCGAATACAAATGACGTCATCAATTGACACTATATTGCACTGGCATGCCGCCGCCATATTGTGTCGGATAACCGGCCATAATAAAACAATTTTTATTGTGTGTGTGCTGAATGAAGCATGCCAGAATTTGTTTTTATTTATTCAAATACAAAATATTATAGAATTGCTGGTATCTCCATTAGGAAGATATAATGATTTTTGGAGCACAAAATGACAAAATAATCGGCAACACTTCCAATATGTCGCAAATGTATGACGTCATATACTGTCCTATGTTTTGGAACGAATCACCAGTATAGCGTCGATTCATGACGTCATTTGCATTGGACAGTACACTGGGTTCTATTTTGGAACATACCCTTAATTTTACAGTCGGAGGAGTCAGGAAGACAATCATGTAGTGCCAACATTAGGTTGTGTCATTAAATTTGACCTTTTTTCTCTCATTTTATTACTTTAACATAGTAAAAGCACCGTTGATTCAGCAAGGAATTCATCTTATAATTATATTATAAATAAATTTACTTTAAGAAACGGCTGGACGTTAAAATTTTGATCTTAAACTCTGCTTAAGATAATCAGAGTTTAAACCAGTTTAAACTTTGATTTAAAATAAAAAGATCAGGACCGAATTATTATCACATTTCTTTCGTCATTTTGAATTGTTTAATACTTGATACATTTTACTGAAATAAAATATTCTTTATATCTATCTTACTCTTAAAATTAAATTTTATATTTCACCCAGTTAATTAGGATATAATTTGTATGTTATAATATAATTTCGTAAATGGCACGTGTATTGAAATATAATTCTATGTAAATTATACCTACAATACTTAACTATTTTTGGCACATTGAGAATTCACTGCTTCTTTGGGCACATTTTTGTAGTAAGTATATTATTATTAATAATAACATTAATTCAGTGTTTGGATTACTGTCTATGCTGCCATGTTACGATCTTTATAAATATATCCAACTATTCACAGTTACACAATAAAAATAGTTTTATCCAGTTTAACATGTTAAAAAAAAAACAATTTGTAAAGTAATAAGGACATCATTTGTGCTAATATTTTGGAATCTTAAAATAGCCGTGCTTTCCGAAGCACATTCACCACCAACTTCTTGACTCCGGACTGCTACAGACAATTTCTTGATAGAAAAAACCCAATAACTTATTTTGGTCAGACCCGGGACCCAATGATCAGCAGTTACTAGACCAACAAAGCAGTAATTTTATCAAACTTACTTGTTTAGTGCCAATACCACTGTACTGACGACTTCCCCACCTTCCCGTGGGCGTCGTAAGAGACAATATCATAATTAAAAATAGAAA